TTACAAATATTATGTTTTTTAAATATATTTATGTTAAGTGTGTTTAAAAATTAAAAAAAATTAATGAAAATAAAAAAATACGAAAAACGAAAAAGTAAAACTTTCTAATAGTTTGGTAACAAACAAGTTAACACAAACATAAGCAATTATATTATTATATTATACCCTTAAGCCTCCTTTGAGAACAAATTATTTTAATAATTTTTTGATTTTTCATAAAAAAATGTTAAAAAAAAAATAAAAAGAGCGACGTAATAATTTCTAATGACTTTTTAATTTTTTAAATAAACTATATAGTTGCCAAACAAGATTTAAGTGTATTTTCCATCGTTTCAGTTAAGAAAATAAAACTAAATTATACATATACATACAAATATATATTAATAAGGAAAATTTACCCATAAATCTTATTTTTTGAAAAGTTGAACCATTTAGTCCTAAAAGTTTTCTTATGCACCATTTAATCCCATTTTATTTTGGTAATGTTGTTTATTTAATTTTTATTATTTACAGGTTACAATAGTACCCCTTTTGTAAAATGTTTGTTTCCTAAAAATCTGCAACATTAACATATATACCCATTTGAATGTTAAGACCCATTTATCAACATTATTCATCAAACATTGATAATCATTATTCATCAAACATTAAGATCCAGCGAACATCAAACACCATCGCCAACATCAATATTATCAAACGTCAGACCCATTTGAATGTTTGATGACGTTTGACGCCGTTTCATCATCATCGCCGTTTTATTTGGCAGTGTTTGATGTCCTCGACAAGGATCGAACGTTGGACCAAGATCTTTGTCTTCGGCACCTGCGAGTCACGTTGATAATGAAACTAATGTTGATGATGTCGATCATGGCGCTGATGTTAACATCATAACATCATCATCAAATCGGATTGGCGTTGAGGGACTGATCGATTGAAGTAGAATTAGGGCTTTCGTGTATGGGATCGTCGGAGGACGTTGAGAAGTCCAAATCGGACCCCATTGAAGCGATGCTGCGAGTGAGAACAAAAGGGTAAACAGCGTAAAACTATAATCAATTGAGTTGAGAGAGACAGAGAGAGAAAGAGATAAAGAGAGAAGGGTTTTTTGGGGAGAAGCTTTGTCTACCAGACGTTCTTCATGGTGATCTTGAATTTGCAAATTGTAGTTGTGATGTGAAGAAGAGATGGTCTAGCCCATAGGTGGGGTCGTGGGGCTGTGTTATTGTTAGATCAACTCCAATGAATTGATGATGATGTTGTGATGTTTGATATTGTTTTGATGATAATGTTTGTGATGTTTGATGTTATTTTGATGACGATGTTTGATGTTGTTTTGATAATGATGTTGTGATGTTTGATGTTGTTTTGATGATGATGATGTTGTTGTTTTGATGACGATGATGTTTGATGTATATGCCCTCTATGGTCAATTTTTCTATAATGGGACCTTTCAGTCTATAAGAATACTTTTAGGACTAAATAGTATATAAGTTGTTAATTTAGAATTTATTGGTGCATCATCCTATTAGTAAATTGGGTCAAACGAGGTCACAATGAACATTTTCAAACTCGGCCTAAAAGGTCACCCAAACCCTCTATGATTTAAATTTTAAATTTTTTTCAATTTAAGTTATAATTTTTTTGATTTATTTTGAATTTAAATCATTCAATTATTTTCATCAAATAAATAAATCAAAATATTTTAGTTTTATCAAATTAAATCTTAATATTTTGATTTGTTTTTAATTTAAATTATTTGTCTGTTTTCGTTAAATAAAAGCAACTGAAAAAAAATATTTTAACTATTAAACTCAATATAAATATATATAAAATGTCTAAATTGCTTTTCTATTCAGTTTAATAATTAAAATATTATTTTTTGTTGATTTTACTTAACAAAAATAAACAATTTATATTGAAAATAAATCAAAATATTAGTGTTTAAATTAAAAATTTTAAAATTTATTTTGTTATAGGTGTCAAATCTTGAATTTTTTTTTACAATTTTCTGAAAAATAAAATAAAATGTGTACCAAACAATTCCATAAAAGTTATTTTTCAACTTTTAATTAATTTTAAGTCATATTATCTTTCATATTTTTATATATATTTTTTTTTTAAAAATAAAACAATAAAAAAATTAACTTTTAAACATATTTCCAAAACACTCCTATGTATATGTGCTCTATATATATAGTGGTGTTTTGAAAAATTGGTAAAAAATTAATTTTTTGACTTTTTTAGTCTATTTTGTCTTTTTATTAGTAAAAAATGTGAGAGGTGATATAACTTAAAATGGATAAAAAGTTAAAAGTTAACTTTTTTTTTTTTCTTCTCAAAACACTATAATATTATTTTAATTCTAATATACATCTCCTTTAAAATGGGTGTACCATTATCACTAATTTTCTTTTTTAAGTTACGATATTATTTTAATTATAATTCATTATGTTAGGTTTCATTATGACATTTTTTTTATAGTTATAATTCAAAAAATTAAAATTATATTAATTTTTTTTTAATTATAAAATGTGTATAATACACATGTAGCACAGCATAATGTTTCCCATATATAAATATATTGTCCATTGCAGGAAAAATTGCCGGATTAAAAGAAGATAGACAGACAGACAGAGAGGCAGATAAAGTTTGAGTACAAGCTTTCATAATTTTCACTTCCCAAACGACCAAGAATTTGGTTGGCTTTTCATAATTTTTGGAAAAAAATTAACAACTATTTTGGTGAGAAAATTAAAAATATTTATCAGTTTCATTTCATATTCTTTTTTTGGGACATAAATTATTTTTTGAAAATTCAAAATAAGTTTTTTGGTGTTTAAGTTTGTCTAACTAGTTACTAAATTTAATAAATAAATAAACAAATTTGAGTTTTGTAAACTCATCAAATAGAGCCGTACAATTCACAAAAGATTAAAATAAATAAATAAATAAATAAATTATACTATTCTCTTTTGATGTTTGAAAAAATCTATTGAATTTCGCAAATTTGACATAACATTTTGTTATTAATAGTAAGATGAAAAAATGATACTTTATTTTGTATAAAAATGTATTTTACATTTAATTTCTCGAGTCTATATCTCACTTGCTTTAGCTCTATTTCTCTATCTATACTATTATAAAGCAATTACTTCTCGTTACCTCAAGTGTCACATTTCTCTGCTTGAAAAAAAATCATCTACTAAGGTGTCAAGACTCAAATCTAAGACTGATAGTTTAAAGAAGAACATTCTTACCATTTGAATGTCATACAATAAATAATACGTTTTTTATTTTACTTTTAAATTGTATATGTATTATTTGTGCCAACTGCTAGCTTTTAACATAAGGCATTGTTTGGTTTTTGCAATTAAAAAAAGAAAAAAAAGCACTTTTTGATTATTTAATAAAAAAATAACATTGATTGTTTGATTTGAAAGAAAATCGTGTTTTTGATTTCAATTTTTTAGATTCAATTTTTTAAAATTTGATTTTTTTGTTTTGTATTTTTTTTATTTTTAGTAAATATTTTTAAAATTTTAAGTAATTTTTTTAAAAAAATTTTAGATGTACCTTACTTAGGTGTATCTAAAAAGTAAAATATTTATAAAAATAATATTTTAAAATATCAAAAAATACATAAAAATACAAAAAATGTACTAAATTCTCATATATATATATATATATATTTGGTATTTAGTAAATTTTTTAAATTTTTTTTTTTACAAATATTATACTTTTTAAGTGTATTTATGTTAGGTATATTTAAAAATTTTAAAAATTACTTAAAATATTAAAAAAATCCACCTTCAAAATGAATGACCATTGAAACCTAACCTAAACTCTCAACAGACAAATCAAAATGCAAAATTAAACCAGACATAAACTCTCAATGGACAAAACAAAATGCAAAATTAACGATAAATATAAATTGATGATATACACAAATATAACAACAATAAATCTAACAACAATAAATAAAAAAAAATCACAAATATATACACACAAAAATGAAAGGATTTTCATTGAGATATCAAATTCATCAGTGTATCACCCATTATTAAGAAACTAAATCCAACAATCCCAAATGTAATTAAATTCAGTGTGTGGAGAGATTGTTTACTTTTATTGTTTGTTTTAAGGGATTATTTCATGAGATTAGACTATTAATTCATCCGGACTATAAAAAAATCGTTTGGTTTAATTTTTTTGATTTTTTTATTTTTTGAAAGAAAAAATAAAATAATTATAATTTAAATATAACATATTATCTTATTAATTAAATTAATCTATTTTATCTTTTTGATAAATTTAATCACTTTAATCATTCCCAAACAGAGCGTAAATATGACTCTCACATTCATGTGAGAGAATGACATTGATCTACAAGTATAAAAAATTTATACGAAAAGTTTTTTCGTTTAGTATTAATCAATACAAATATTTTGATACAGGAGTATATATATAGATTCAGCTTGTCTGATGTTAAAGTTAAGAGTAAATCGATTCAGTCTAATTTATAGGTTCATTTTGGGTTCCGTTTCAATAATCCGAACCGTTATATATGTAGAATTTGTTGAGTGCTATATCTTTGCAAAATATCACGTTGATTGGATATCGATAACTTTTTGATTAGTTAAATTTGTATTGAAAAAATAAAAGGTAAAAAAATAAACAGTTGACAAAGTTTTGATCCGATCAAATAGTTATTAATATCCGATCAACTTAATTTTTTATAAAAATATAACACTTAATGAGTTCTACTTATTAATAGTTCAGATTCTTAAAATGGAGCCAAACAACGAGCCTATGAGCCAAACTAAACGATCCAATTTTGATTTCAAACTGAGACATGCTGGACCCCATATATATTTGAGGATGTGCAGAGGAGTATATTTTCACACTCCAGCTTCGAATCTGATTTTGGTCAAAAACCCAATCTCAAGTTTTCACACTACAGTATTCATTGTCGGAGAAGAACAGGCTCCCCAAAACCCAATCTCAAGTTTTCACACTACAGTATTCATTGTCGGAGAAGAACAGGCTCCCCACTTCTCTCTCTCTCTCTCTCTCTCCACAAATTTCTCTCTCTAGACTCTGCCTCACCTCCTCATCATCTGTCATTTTCTGTGCGTGTAAGCTGTGTGTCTTCTTTTACAGAATCAGCAACTGAAGAAACCACCCAAAAACTGTAAAAACCCAAAAGGCTCTGCCTTTCTTTACTCTCCCAGACATATGTTCAATTGAATTCAATCAAAACAAACAATTCTAGAGAGAGAAAAACAGAGCTCCAAAGTTTTAGAGAGAGAGAGAGAGAGATAAAGCAAGCAATGTCACAAGATTCTGAGGAGATAAAGACGGTTGAGCAGTGGAGGTGGTCTGAAATGCAAGGCCTTGAACTCGTGTCATCACCACCAAAAACAACAACAGCTAGAGACACAGAAGGAAAAGTATTTGAAGAGAGAGAAAACAGGGGAGGAGAGAGAAGAGATATGGAGGAGGTTTCTGAGGTGAAGAGAGATGGTTCTTCTCTTCCTTCAACTGGGTTTGGTGAGCTTTTCAGGTTCGCAGATGGGTTGGACTATGTTTTGATGGCAATTGGGACTGTTGGTGCCATTGTTCATGGCTCTTCGTTGCCTCTGTTTCTTCGATTCTTCGCCGATCTTGTGAATTCTTTTGGGTCTAATGCGAACAACATTGATAAGATGACACACGAAGTTATCAAGGTAAAAACATAAATTCAATATTGGTTTTTTTGTTTTTTGGTGGATTTGAAAGTGTTTTTGATTGTGAATTTTTGCAGTATGCGTTTTACTTCCTTGTTGTTGGGGCTGCAATATGGGCATCTTCATGGGCAGGTGAGTTATATATATACATATATAGATTGATCATTTGGGTATTTAATTCTTGGTTTGTATTTCATGAGTTTGCAATGAAATTGAAAGGAATTGAAAAATGGTTACAGAGATTTCGTGTTGGATGTGGACTGGAGAGAGACAATCGACGAAAATGAGGATTAAGTACTTAGAAGCAGCTCTGAATCAAGACATTCCATTTTTTGATACAGAGGTCCGAACTTCCGATGTCGTTTTCGCCATTAACACTGATGCAGTGATGGTTCAGGACGCCATTAGCGAGAAGGTGAATGAAAAGAAAAACCCCATTTGATTTCAATGTTTTTGTTGTCCAAGTTTTGCAAATTTATTCTGAATAGGCTTGTTTTTTTTGGGTATAATTTTGTGCAGTTGGGGAATTTTTTACATTATATGGCAACATTTGTGTCTGGATTTGTGGTGGGTTTCACTGCTGTTTGGCAATTAGCACTTGTCACTCTTGCTGTGGTTCCTCTCATTGCTGTAATTGGAGGTGTCCACACCACCACATTAGCTAAGCTCTCTTCCAAAAGCCAAGAAGCTCTTTCTGAAGCAGGAAACATTGCAGAACAGGTGAGAGAAGATTGAAAATTCCAACATTTGTTCATTTTCTACTTACTCAGAAAAAAGTACCCACAAAATTAAATTTTCTCTGTTTTTTCAATTGGGTGTTGCTGATTTTAGCTAACAATGCAGACAATAGCTCGAATTTGCATTGTTGGATTGAGAGTGGACATAGTTTCCTTGTAAATTTTCTCTGTTTTTGTATCTGGGTATTGCTAATACATAACAAAAAAATTAAAATATTTAAAAATATTTTTATAAAATAGAGTTTGAATTTATTTTTATAAAATATTTTAAAATTTAAAAAATTAAAATCGTAATATTTTGAAATTAAAATATTTAAAAAAATTCAAAAAATTCAAAAATTCAAAAAATCGTAACCAAACGGAGCCTTCATTTTCCTGCTCTTTAATTCCCCCATTTCTTTAATTCCCCGCTCTTTAATTCCCCCATTTCATTTTCCCGCTATTTTAACCTTGGGTTTGATTTGGGGTAAACTGCCAGAAATGCTGTCTGTCCATTATATTCACAAGGATTTGGGGTTGGACTATGTTTTGATGGCAATTGGGACTGTTGGTGCCATTGTTCATGGCTCTTCGTTGCCTCTGTTTCTTCGATTCTTCGCCGATCTTGTGAATTCTTTTGGGTCTAATGCGAACAACATTGATAAGATGACACACGAAGTTATCAAGGTAAAAACATAAATTCAATATTGGTTTTTTTGTTTTTTGGTGGATTTGAAAGTGTTTTTGATTGTGAATTTTTGCAGTATGCGTTTTACTTCCTTGTTGTTGGGGCTGCAATATGGGCATCTTCATGGGCAGGTGAGTTATATATATACATATATAGATTGATCATTTGGGTATTTAATTCTTGGTTTGTATTTCATGAGTTTGCAATGAAATTGAAAGGAATTGAAAAATGGTTACAGAGATTTCGTGTTGGATGTGGATTGGAGAGAGACAATCGACGAAAATGAGGATTAAGTACTTAGAAGCAGCTCTAAATCAAGACATTCCGTTTTTCAATACGGAGGTCCGAACTTTCGATGTCATTTTCGCCATTAACACTGATGCAGTGATAGTTCAGGATGCCATTAGCGAGAAGGTGAATGAAAAGAAAAATCCCATTTGGTTTCAATGTTTTGTTGTCAAAGTTTTGCAAATTTATTCTGAATAGGCTTGTTTTTTTTGGGTATAATTTTGTGCAGTTGGGGAATTTTTTACATTATATGGCAACATTTGTGTCTGGATTTGTGGTGGGTTTCACTGCTGTTTGGCAATTAGCACTTGTCACTCTTGCTGTGGTTCCTCTCATTGCTGTAATTGGAGGTGTCCACACCACCACATTAGCTAAGCTCTCTTCCAAAAGCCAAGAAGCTCTTTCTGAAGCAGGAAACATTGCAGAACAGGTGAGAGAAGTTTGAAAATTCCAACATTTGTTCATATTCTACTTACTCAGAAAAAAGTACCCACAAAATTAAATTTTCTCTGTTTTTTCAATTGGGTGTTGCTGATTTTAGCTAACAATGCAGACAATAGCTCGAATTTGCATTGTTGGATTGAGAGTGGACATAGTTTCCTTGTAAATTTTCTCTGTTTTTGTATCTGGGTATTGCTGATTTAAGCCAAAAAATGCAGACAATAGCTCAAATTAGGACAGTTTTGGCATTTGTTGGAGAATCAAGAGCATTGCAAGCATATTCCTCGGCGTTGAAGGTAGCACAGAGGCTCGGTTACAAGAGTGGATTTGCAAAGGGAATGGGATTGGGAGCAACATACTTCACTGTTTTCTGTTGCTATGCACTTCTTCTCTGGTATGGGGGTTATCTGGTTCGGCACCACTACACCAATGGCGGACTTGCCATAGCCACAATGTTCGCTGTTATGATCGGTGGCTTGTAAGTACTCCGTTGCACTTGTCCAGTTTTGTATCTCCTATTGAATCTCATATGCTAAATCAATCTGTTTTTTTGGCTCGAAAGAGCATTAGGACAGTCGGCTCCAAGCATGGCTGCGTTTGCCAAGGCTAGAGTTGCAGCGGCGAAAATATTTCGTATAATTGATCATAAACCGGACGTTGAGAAGAACAGCGAATCGGGTTTGGAGTTAGACTGTGTCACCGGGCAGGTTGAGCTGAAGAACGTTGATTTCTCCTACCCATCGAGGCCAGAAGTTCAAATTCTTAATGATTTCTCGCTAATTGTTCCTGCTGGAAAAACTATAGCTTTGGTTGGAAGCAGTGGCTCTGGCAAGAGCACTGTGGTTTCCCTCATTGAGAGATTCTATGATCCTACCTCAGGTAAATTAAATACACAATATATTTCATTCTGATTCACAAAATAATTATGCATTGATCTAATTAGTATGCATACAAGACTTGTGTGTTCTGTGTTTGTTTGGTTTCATGATTGGTTTCCATGCGTAGTTGAACGGTCACAAGAGCAACTCGTTGTGCTATTGCTAAAATTTGACACAATAGACACAAAAGACACAAAAATCCTGCTTTACTAGTGTGTTATTTTTTGTGCCAAATTTAGCATTATGCTATCCAACCTGTCAAATTTGGCACAATAAGAGCATCATGACAAATTTTAATACACGGTATGTTCGACCATTCCCCAAAAATGCCACGCCATGCTAAAATATGACATTAGTAAAATTCTAAAATATGACATTAGTAAAATTAAAATACACGATTTGCTAGAGATGATCTAAATATTGTACTATATAAATTTAATGTAATTCTGGCAGTTGCAGTTAATAGTGCCTTGTTGAGTTCATGTGGATATGGTTGTGAACAATAATGTTGTAGAATGAAAATCTATGTTAATAAATAGAAGCTGTGTGTGTGCAGGGCAAGTTCTGTTGGATGGGCATGACATAAAGGCATTGAAGCTGAAATGGCTGAGGCAGCAAATTGGGCTAGTGAGTCAAGAGCCTGCTCTGTTTGCCACCACCATTAAAGAAAACATACTATTGGGTCGGCCCGACGCAACACTAGTTGAGATCGAAGAAGCCGCCAGAGTTGCCAATGCCAATTCATTCATCATCAAGCTTCCTGATGGCTTTGACACTCAGGTTAGCAGACAGTTAATTTGGTTCGGTATAAAGATCTTAGGACAGAATCATAAGTTTCTCTATATGAACCCTCCTAGAATATATGGACTCGGGAGCAGGTGTCAGGTGCAAAAGTGTCGAATTTATCTCATTTTCATGTACATTAGAAATCAGATTTCTTAAATATTTCTTTTATTTTGTTTGGTAAAACATTGTTTACGAGCTAATATAAAATGTTTTATGCACAGAAGGGGGAAATAATACATAGTTGTCAAAATCGCAATCCACTATGATCCTGAATTTTACAAAGCGATCCAAATTGTCATAAAATCGGTATTATAGCAAGATCACAAGTAGATCATGTGGGATCGTAAGTAGGATTATTAGGTTGGTAATTTTTCACTTTATTTTTAATATTCATCATCATTATTAGTATTCTTACCATATATATATATATATATATATTTTTATAGGAAGTGGAATCTTACAATCCTCAATCGGCTCTATGACACCTTCTCATCAATCCAGCATATGATCTTGATTTTAACAACCAGTGGTCATATAGTAAACTCAATTACTTAGGCTTAGCTGAAAGTACTTAAGTTTAATATAGTATATACTACATATGAAATTGAGTCATAGATCTTTAACAAAGAGGACTTCTCTAGTTAGAATTTTTTAGTTTAGAAGTTGAATGGCTTGTTTGGTCAAAAAACAAACCTGACATGTATTAGAAGTCAATGAGAGGAGGTGTTTGGTCATGCATTTAAAAAAAAGGTAACATGGCTTCAGAGTCAACTATGCATGTGCTGATGTAAATGGCCAGATGGGGTTTTATTTATTCATGCAAAAACTAAGAAACAATTAAAAAAAATGAAGAGCATGTAGGGTTCATCAGAGCATATAATAATGAAAAATACCCTAGAAAACTAAATAAATATTTGAGTCTTTAACGGACTTGTCGGATGGTGAAAGAGATTCTGTGATATTGACAATTAGGATAAAATAGAAAAGATTAGGTGGATAATGGCGAGAAGGAGAAAGAGCATTTGCAGAAGAAATGTTCCTAGTAACCAACAAAAAGAAAAAAGTATTGAGTTATAATGATAATATTATAAATTTAGAGGTGATAATTAAAAAAATAATCCATGACGTAGAAGATTAGAGATTTCATGGAACTTGGAGGACGTTGAATGCGACTCTATGGGATTGATAATGACAATAAGAGCGATTAATGCGATTTGATGGTGGCAATTAGGCGACAAAGGGCAGCATAAACAATTACAAACATCAAATAATAAAGAAATAAATAAGTATTTCAGTCAATCAAGAATTTGTTTTGTGATCAGAGAAGTTAAATTGCTTATGGAAAGAAAATTACAAAAGATGAATAGTTGAATGGCTTGTTTGGTCAAAATACAAACCTGACATGTATTAGAAGTCAATGAGCGGAGGTGTTTGGTCATGCATTTAAAAAAAAGGTAACATGGCTTCAGGGTCAACTATGCATGTGCTGATGTAAATGGCCAGATGGGGTTTTATTTATTCATGCAAAAACTAAGAAACAATTAAAAAAAATGAAGAGCATGTAGGGTTCATCAGAGCATATAATAATGAAAAACACCCTAGAAAACTAAATAAATATTTGAGTTTTTAACGGACTTGTCGGATGGTGAAAGAGATTCTGTGATATTGACAATTAGGATAAAATAGAAAAGATTAGGTGGATAATGGCAAGAAGGAGAAAGAGCATTTGCAGAAGAAATCTTCCTAGTAACCAACAAAAAGAAAAAAGTATTGAGTTATAATGATAATATTATCAATTTAGAGGTGATAATTAAAAAAATAATCCATGACGTAGAAGATTAGAGATTTCATGGAACTTGGAGGACGTTGAATGCGACTCTATGGGATTGATAATGACAATAAGAGCGATTAATGCGATTTGATGGTGGCAATTAGGCGACAAAGGGCAGCATAAACAATTACAAACATCAAATAATAAAGAAATAAATAAGTATTTCAGTCAATCAAGAATTTGTTTTGTGATCAGAGAAGTTAAATTGCTTATGGAAGGAAAATTACAAAAGATGAATTGAAGGACTTAAATTCTGATGAAGACTTGGATTAAAAACAACTTAAAATGAATGGAAATGCTTGTTCTTTAATTTATGTAATAGTTATTCAAAATGAAAAAAAGGAAAAAAAAATGTGGCTATGATCCAAGCCTGTCCTGGTTTGAGAGTCAAAGTGTTGATTTCTTTGAATGTTCATTATTTTTGGGGTAAATTATGACATACAATAAGCTAAAAACCAATTGAAAATGGAAGGTAGGGGAGAGAGGCGTTCAACTCTCGGGCGGGCAAAAGCAGAGAATAGCCATAGCAAGGGCAATGCTGAAAAACCCCGCAATCTTGCTTTTAGATGAGGCAACAAGTGCATTGGATTCTGAGTCAGAAAAGCTAGTGCAAGAGGCTCTTGATCGGTTCATGATTGGGAGAACAACTCTTGTCATTGCACACCGCCTCTCTACTATCCGAAAGGCCGACCTTGTGGTTGTACTCCAACAGGGCAGCGTGTCAGAAATTGGAACTCACGAGGAGCTTATGGCCAAAGGAGAAAATGGTGTTTATGCAAAGCTCATACGGATGCAGGAAACAGCTCATGAAACCGCTCTCAATAATGCCAGAAAAAGTAGTGCAAGGTACTTTCACTAACTTTATTAGTATATAATTCTAAATTTCCCGTTGTAATGATAGATAATAGGCTCATGATTTGTTGCTTAAAATGGAATATTCTTTTGCAGGCCTTCGAGTGCCAGGAACTCAGTGAGCTCGCCAATAATTGCCCGAAACTCCTCCTATGGTCGATCACCATACTCACGCCGCCTATCTGACTTCTCCACTTCAGACTTTAGCCTCTCCCTCGATGCATCCCATCCCAATTACCGGCTTGAAAAGCTCGCATTCAAAGAGCAAGCGAGTTCCTTCTGGCGCCTGGCAAAAATGAACTCTCCTGAATGGGCTTATGCCCTCGTCGGCTCTATAGGCTCCGTTGTTTGTGGTTCCCTCAGTGCCTTCTTTGCATACGTTCTGAGTGCTGTCCTAAGTGTTTACTACAATCCAGATGATGCACACATGATCAGAGAAATTAGAAAATACTGCTATCTATTAATTGGGGTTTCATCAGCTGCGCTGCTCTTCAACACGCTGCAACATTTCTTTTGGGATGTGGTCGGAGAAAACCTTACCAAACGAGTGAGGGAGAAAATGCTGGCAGCGGTGCTGAAAAATGAATTGGCGTGGTTCGATCAGGAGGAGAATGACAGTTCTAGAATTGCAGCCAGGCTTGCTCTCGATGCCAACAATGTTAGGTCTGCTATTGGAGACCGCATTTCAGTGATCATGCAGAATTCAGCGCTCATGATTGTTGCCTGCACTGCGGGATTCGTTTTGCAGTGGCGGCTAGCTCTTGTCCTCATCGCTGTCTTTCCTGTTGTTGTTGCAGCCACTGTCCTCCAGGTTTGTTTTCATCTTCTTCCTTTTTATTTTTGCAAGAAACTGTTTTCCAAGTTTTGGACATAAACTTTTTGTGTCTTCTAAAAAATGGGTTGTTTTCAGAAAATATTCTTTCTGAAAATAGTTTATGGAAACAGCTAAGTTTTATATGTTTTCCGAAAAATAAAAAGAAATAATTAAAAATGAAAACACAAGCTAACATACCATTTAAAAAATAGCTGGTTAACAATTCTTGTTATTGATGAAGATTGGTTGTGTTTTCGTGTTCTTCGTTTCCATTTTTTGTGTTTTTGGAAACAAAACTATGACAAGTTCGAAAACATCCATTATTTTCATTTTTGTGCAAAAACAGTTCTCAAAATTCAGAAGTTATTTCCTAAAAAATGGGTTATCTTCATAAAAAAAAAAATTTCCTGAAGTTCTCAGAAGCATTTCACCAAACAACTTTCTGCCTTCTGAAAAATGAACAGATAAAATAAAAAACTAAAACAAAACCAAACGAAACCAAACGAAACATCTGGTTAACAATACACATTGAAAGCATTACAATTTGGAACTTAAATTTAGGAATTGGATGACAGAGAGCCCACATTTACTAATTTTTGTTGTTTTTTCAACAGAAAATGTTCATGCAAGGTTTCTCCGGAGACCTAGAAGCAGCCCATGCCAAAGCCACACAACTGGCAGGAGAGGCCGTAGCCAACGTAAGAACTGTCGCTGCCTTCAATTCAGAATTGAAAATCGTCAGTCTTTTTACCAACAACCTTGAAACACCACTCCGGCGCTGCTTCTGGAAAGGACAGATTGCTGGAAGTGGCTATGGAATAGCCCAATTTGCACTCTATGCTTCCTATGCCCTTGGCCTTTGGTACGCCTCATGGCTTGTAAAGCATGGAATATCCGATTTTTCAAAGACAATCCGAGTTTTCATGGTCCTCATGGTCTCCGCCAACGGAGCAGCCGAGACATTGACTCTAGCCCCTGATTTCATCAAGGGCGGTCGAGCCATGCGGTCAGTGTTCAACCTTCTTGACCGCAAATCTGAAATTGACCCTGATGAGAAGGATTCGACCCCAGTTCCTGATCACCTACGTGGGGAAGTGGAATTCAAGCACGTCGACTTTTCTTACCCTTCACGTCCTGATGTGCCAATTTTCCGAGACCTCAATCTCCGTGCACGAGCTGGCAAGACTCTCGCTCTCGTCGGTCCTAGTGGATGTGGTAAGAGCTCGGTCATCGCTCTGATAGAGCGATTCTATGAGCCATCTTCTGGGCGAGTCATGATTGATGGGAAGGACATTCGAAAGTACAATTTAAAGGCATTGCGACAACATATTGCGCTCGTGCCACAAGAGCCATGCCTCTTTGCCACAACCATTTACGAAAACATTGCTTATGGGCACGAATCAGCAACCGAAGCTGAGATAACTGAAGCAGCAACTTTGGCAAATGCGCACAAATTCATATCGTCATTGCCAGACGGTTACAAAACATTTGTTGGGGAGAGGGGAGTTCAATTGTCCGGGGGACAAAAGCAAAGAATTGCGGTTGCTCGGGCCTTTTTAAGGAAAGCAGAACTAATGTTACTTGACGAAGCCACGAGCGCACTTGATGCTGAGTCAGAAAGGAGTGTTCAAGAGGCATTGGAGCGCGCTTGCTCGGGAAAAACCACAATTGTAGTTGCACACCGTCTATCAACAATAAAAAATGCCCATGTCATTGCTGTGATAGACGATGGGAAAGTGGCCGAGCAAGGTTCACATTCGCACCTTTTGAAAAACTACCCGGATGGGATTTATGCACGAATGATACAGTTACAGAGATTCACACATGGGCAGGCGCTGGACATGGCATCCGGTTCGAGTTCTTCGGCTCGGCCGAGGGAAGATGATGTGAGAGAAGGGCAGTGAAGTGAAAAGAAAAGAAAATACCACTGGAAAAGGAGTGTAGCTCTTATATTATACCCCTTTACTGATTTTTTGGATGTCTTGTTCTTCTTCTGTTTTGGTATAGCATAGTATGTGTATTATCATATAAAATTACCTTAATATATGTCCCTATTTTGATTGATCTCTTATTAGTTCTTACAATGTGCTTGAAAAGAAAAACAAAGAAAATGTTTGGTAATATATCAACTAAGTTTTTGTTTTCAGTTTCTTGAAAAAATGAAAACAAAAATGAAAAGCGGAACGAACAACGGAAGGGAAGTGTTTGTTAACGACCCTAGCATCCACTAATCTGTATCGACCCTGCGTTCTGTAGCATCTGACAATGATCAACATAGGATGCGATAGATATTTGAATTTTGAACAGAATGGAGATCAAACATGTTAGTGTTCTATCACTTTCTCACTGATCCTCAGCAGTAAATGACAGTTCCATGTAGGAACAGGAACATATATGGTGGGCTCCCAACAACATCGTGCATCGCGGTCCATAGAATACCATGGCGCATTTCAATCCATCCGATCTTGATCATATGTCTTGGTTTCTTCTGTAGTTAAATGACAGTGATGGAAGATGTATAAAGGGGAAGAACAGAGCATTATTGAATTGGGTCTTCTTGTGGTTGGTTTCATGCCAAGCAGCCTAAATAAAGACACAGACAGACCAGAGGAAAACTCAGTGAAGAAGAAGAAACAGGACAAAGCAGGAGAGAGAGAGAGAGGCCATGAATGGATTTGTTTTTGTTTTTCTTGATGGCAAAGTCAAAGAATGACAGACACAGAAACAAGCATGTGTTTTTCGTGTTTTCAAAAGCAAAGAATAAAAAAACCTAAGGAAAGTTTTGAGAGCACTTGTCGTTTTCATTTTTGTGCAAAAGCATTTGTCGAAAATTTGAAAATCACTTCTTTCATATTTTTTTGAAAGTTGGTTGTTTCTAAAATTTTCTCGAAAACCTAGCGCACTTAACTATGTCAAATGAGTTAAATTTTATACCAACATCTTAGCATCGTGTATGAATTTCATGCACTTCAAAAGTGGGTAGGGGATGTTAGACTATAGAAATTAGAGTATATAGAATCAATTTATTTTTAATATTATGTATATAATTTGTAATTGTGTCAATCACTGATTTAGTATTATTTATTTATTTATATCGTTTCTTAAATTGTATAATGAATATATTATATATACATGATCTCTATCTCATTCATAGGAAAGTCAAATAATTCTTTTAATCCTTTTTTGGTATCAGAGCTAGGTTAAGTATCTAATAATTTTGCTTCATTAGCGGTAGCCTTGCCTTGACGGTCCGTCGGACTTCAACCCATTCCACTGCCATATTTTTTTTCAGTATCACTCCGTGGTGATCTCTTTCTCTATCCACTAGTTTATTCCTATCCTAAATATCTCTATCAAATTTTTTTTACTTGCAATCCATTTTTGTGCTTGTTTCTGTTCCACTTTGCATTTCCATCTATTTCAACCTCAAACAGGTTTCTATTTTCAAACCTATTTGAGTTTGAATGAGGGTATTATACCTATATCATGGTGATATATCATGTGAACCACCTGAGCCGCTCCATCTGGCACATAACCCAAGTCACCCTATCTGGCGCACCACCTGAGCACCCCCTCCGGTGCACTTTCTAATAAGTCACCCCTTGGCGCGCTCAATCATCTGTTGCCATCATCGTTTAGCACTACGCTATAAGTTATATGTGTGCCACGCTTGTTGGTTTAACATCCAGTTCTCTACATCGGTCAGGCATGACCTCTTTAAATTATCTCGACATTGATTCCAAATAGTCTCTACAACAGCCCAACATTGATTCCGATTAGTTCCTACAACGGTCCGGCATGACCCCGTAAATTGTCCCGACATTGATTTTAATCAGTTCCTACAATGGTCCAGCATGACTTTAAACTGTCATGATATTAGTTCCGACCAGTTTTTACAACAGTCCGGCACAACCATATCTCTCGACATTAGCTCTAGCCTCTGATGCTGACTAGGGTTTTGTTGGCTGCTGACCAGGGTATTCGCTGACCATAGATGCGTCGGCAGCTCTTCTAAGGATGTTCAGTCCCTGTTTTTTCCCCCCTTTTCTAGGGTGTGGTGCTGATGTGTTAAGTACTTTTTTTGACCTTTTTTATTTAGTGAATTACCAAATTTATTCGGTAGCATTTATTTAGACTAGCCGTTGAGTTTTTTTCGACTTCTTCCAATCATCTATTGGCAAGCAGTGACTGTTGAATATCTTCACACCAACTTGAGGGGGAGTGTTGAATATAGAAATTAGAGTATATATAGAATCATTTTATTTTTAGTATTATGTATATAATCTGTGATTGTGTCAATCATTGATTTAATATTGTTTCTTTATTTATATCGTTTCTTAAATTGTATCATGAATTTATTATATATACGTAGCTTTTACCTCATTCATGAGTAAGCCAATTCATTCTTTTATTCATCTGGGGATCCTCTATTAGAATCTTTCCATCTCCTCTCCACGTCATGATTAGGCAAAAAAGATCTATCGCGTGATAAAGGGGTGGCTTGAATAGATCTTCTTATCTCCTTTTTACTATATGATCAAAACAAAAAGAAAATCAATCATATGATAGAGAGATGGCTTGGAACATGAGAGGATCTAGCCTTCTTGAAAGAGTGATAACTATGGTTATATGTTGACAAACAACATAAGCAAGCTATCAGAGGGCAAAACTGGTCAAAGGAAACAACAAACATTCTTTATCAGAGTATTATGTAGACTAATGCAGCTTATGAATAAACAAGTTTTTCTAGCTGATAAATATCACCATGTATAACTAATTTACAAGATAAATAATAACCTGAAATATTCTAGAATAAATTAGTTTCCATGAACATGTAGCACACGAGCTTACAAACCAGAAGATTAGTTTAAAATCCTTAGCTAACTTAGATGCATTGGTGACAAAGATAGATGATTGTTACATTGCCAATTTCACAAAATTTAGTATCACGATTGAGGGTCGTTTGCAGGCCATTGAAAATTTAATTAAACAAATATAAACACAACAAACCAAAAATTTTGGAAACTTACATCCACAAGCAAATGATCTATAACCATACTGAAGATTGATTTAAAATTCTTTGATAACATAAATCTTATGGTGACAGTATAGATCATTCTTAACTATATAACCAAGAAAAAAAAAACTACATTTACTATGCTTGGTTACCACTTTTCAAAAAATTTTACATTCTTATTTTTCGTATTTTTTTTTTGTTTTTACTGAAACTTTTTTAATATTTTGAGCAATTTTTTTAATTTTTAGACATAATTAACATAAGTATACCTAAAAAGTAAAAAAAATTTGAAAAAAACCTTTTAAAAATTCATTAAATACCAAAAATACAAAAAAAATACGAGAATTCAGTATATTTTTTATATTTTTATGTATTTATTAATTTTTAAAAATATTTTTTCACAAATTTTTTACTTTTTAGATACATCTAAGTAAGGTGCATCTAAAAAAAGTAAAAGAAATGTTTAAAATTTTAAAAAATATTCACTAAAAACAAAAAAACACGAAAATCAAAAAATTTAATTTTCAAAAAAATTAATTCAAAAAATTCAAACCAAACACACTGATTATAATTTATCCAGAATTAAGAAGGTATTTTGCAGCTCATTGAACATTTAATTTAATTGATCCAAGAGTGTTTTCATTCTTGAAACCACACATAATATTGAATTAATGTTACATGTTTTAGTGAAAATGATCTGTTTACCATCATTTGAGTATTATGCGTTTTAAATAATTTTGTAGCATCATTGCTTTTGAGACTACACATAGTACTTAATACATGTTTATTTTTTTAAAAATGATCAAGCCATTATTATATAGGTTTTATGTGCTTAATTGATCCTAGAACGCTGTAGCGTTCTCAAAATCATACATGGCACTTAATAAAGGTGGAGAGTTTTTGAATGAGAAATTACCCATCAGTGGGCTCAGAAAAAAATATTTGTAAAATAGTGAAATTTTTTATAATTTTAATTATTAATATTTATCAATTTTTCGCAAATATTTTTTCTAATTCCACTTATGTGTAATTCTCCCTTTCTGAAAATCATCCATTAATCATTATTTGGATATTATGTGCTTTAGATGGTTCCTTATCTTTAGGGGTGTAAAAATGGCCTGAGACCTGTGGGCAGTCCGAAACTCGCTTGCAACTCGAGGTGGAACTAGCCTATTTCAACCCAGTTAGGCTCGGGCTTGAGCCCAACCCAAGACCTTGGGCATGGGCCTTTCATTTGAAGCTTGGCCCGGCCTACCTAGCCCTCATTTTCTGGCTCTACCTGCCAAGTCAATTTTTTTTAAAAAAAAGAAAAAAAGACTTGCAAGTTGCAACGATTAAATAATAAAAATAAAATAATAAAAATAAAATAAAAAAATAAAATAAAGGTTTTCAACAATGATAAAAGAAAAAAAGGCCAATCTTTTCTTTGCGTAAGAGACAGAATTGATGTCCGCCACTTACCTGCCGCTCTATACCCTTGCCTTGTCATGCATCACATCATTGCAATTTGCAATGAATGAAAAAAAAATAATAATAATTTAAATGTCTGCACCTCTGCAAACTAAAAAAAAATTTTTATTTATAAATTTACTTCAATCTTCCAAACTTCTATAAATATTCTCTGTTTTCCAAAATAAATCTCATAAACAATTTTCTCTTTTAAACTCTCAATCTCTCTCAACTCTCAATTAATTTTGAAATGTCATCCTTAAGTGGCAATTACAATTGTGCAAGAAGAAATTTTTATAAGAAACTAATTTTTGTATCACATTCACTAGTCAGTACCATTAATTAGTTTAATTAAATTTATTAGCTACTCATTTTTTTACATTAATTATTTATGAACATATATTAATTATTATTTTTTACTCATTATTGTTACTCATTATTTAAATTAATTGTTAGTTCTTATATATTATTTTACTTACATTACTATAGATTCTAATATTTTTAATATTTATGTCGATGTTGATACATATACTACACAACATGAATCTGTTGATTCTCATTCTAATATCCATTTTTCAACAATTGGATCATCATCTAGGG